AAAAGTTTTGGGGCTGGTTTTGCATTCTTTAGCTATCGATGTCTCATTTTCTAGTTTAGCCACTTTAATTGCCTTTTTGCAAGCGTTATTGGCTTCCTTATATCTTAAATAGGATGCCTCTGATTTGTCTGATTTAAATGCTTTAAATGCCCTTTTCTTATTTTTAATCTCTTGTTTTACTTCTCTACTAAGCCACATTGGTTTTAATTTGTTTCTTTTATATTTATTACCCAATGGTACATACTGAGAAATGTACCTTTCTAATATTTGTTTGAATAGTTTCCATTTATCCTCAGTGTTTTTATCACTAAGGAGTTTATGCCAGTCGATATGTTGTAGAGCTGCCCTAATCTTATTGAAATTGGCTTTTTTTAAATTATATGTTTTAGTATACCCCACTTGCTTTTGCTTTTTTGAATTTATTTCAAAAGTTACCATATTGTGATCACTATTTCCCAAATGCTCCCCTACTTGAATGTTGGAGAAAATAGGAGAAAGAAGGAGTAGAGTACTTGTAAAAAGGAGAAAGAAGGAGTAGAGTACTTGTAAAAAGGAGAAAGAAGGAGTAGAGTACTTGTAAAAAAGGAAAAGGAAGGATAAGGAGAGAATTGTTGTTGGCTAATAATAGTAAGTGGGCTACCTAGCTCAGCCTTCCTACTGGGCATTGCCATAAGTAAGGTTAAAAAATAGAAAAAAGGGGGGAAAAAGGTGGGGAGGGGAATTGAGGTGGGGAGCTGATGCACAGATGAGAAATCATATTATGAGCAAACAGAGAAATCGTCTGAATATCACCGAAAGAGGAGACCTTTGTTTGTTCCTTACAAAAATCAAACCAGATATCAAATATTTAGTCTCTCAGCATTAACCTCAAGGATCTCATTAATCACTAGTAAATGCAATTTCAATTTACTTTGTTTTCTCATTAAGCTTTATAAAGTTAAAAACATTACAAACATGCATAAAGTAGAAATAAAAAGATAAATGTACGTACATTTATTTTTTTTTAAAAAACACCCTCCTTTCTAAAAAATATTCTGCACTTGCGCGAAAACCGGTGGGCAGTAAGGAAATTATTCCATCAAGAAAGATGCATTAGTGGCCGGTAGGTAGAAAAACACAAATCTGTTTTTAAAGAATTTAAACATTCTTTATTTAAGCTATCATTCTGATCTCTTATTTTCCTAGCATACCAACAGCATGCAGTCATAGATTTAACCCTGCAGTTAATACCGGCAGAATTAAAGCTGCTATCATTAAATCAGATCTCATATTACTAAGTAATGTTTTCCTAACGTTCCATATACATTGGATCTTTATGAGGGTTCTATTGCTTTAGCAAACGTAACCGACCCATCGCAGAGAACTTTCTCATAGTGACGTCTCTAGTCCACAAGCTGAGGTGTAAAGCTAATTACAACCAGGCAGTCTGCAATATATCACATTGATTCTTTAGCATGAACATCGAATTAGCAATCCCTATTAGAGTGTAGTGATCAATGTATAGCAATGATAGAAGAGCAAGATGAATATTTAGTGCCTTGTTTAAGGTCTTTTTTTTTTTTACGGGTATTTGAGCTGTTAACTGTCATTGCCACTAAAAAAAGAAACAACCTGTTAAAACATATGGGAATTAAGAAAAAATAACAAAAATATTGAAAAACACATATGCTAAAAAATCTGCCTCAAACAAAGTATTTAAAAATAAAAAAATCTCACTTTGCATTCATGATTTGTTTTTCTCACTCTGTGACCCTTTCAGTGCTCAACAGAGAGTTGAAAGCACCGGTCTATACAAACAGATAGATACAAAAACACACAGGTACACATACAGATACACATAGAAACATAGTCTACTGCACCATCCTGATTTATTATTTTAGTTTGGCATTATCTCCCTGAAGTAAACCCATGTTGTCTCTGATCTTGAAATCCATATGATTTTAGATGTTCAACAATCCTATCCTTTAACATGGTTTCCATTATTTTCCCAACTACTGAAGTAAGGCTTACTGGCCTATAGTTGCCCGACTCCTCACTACTATCTTTCTTGTGAATGAGCTACTTTTCAGTCTTCTGGGACTACTCCTGTTAACAACGATTGGTTAAATAAATCCGTAAATGGCTTTGCTAGTACACCATTAAGTTCTTTTAATAACTTTGGGTGTATCGCATCAGGCCCCATCGACTAATTTGTCTTTACTTTTGACAGTTGAAATAGAACCTCTGTAAACTCACATGTAACAAATTACCCTTTTTCTTAACTGAAGCCCTTCATTTTCATCTGTAAATACTGAACAAAAATATTAATTGAGGCAGTCGGCTAGATCTTTATCCTCTTTTACATACCTTCCTTCTTTTGTTTTTAATCTAACTAATCCTTGTTTTACTTTCATTTTCTCATTTACGTATCTAAAAAAATTTACATCCCCCTTTTTCACTGACTATGCTATTCTCTCTTCTGTGTGTGCTTTGGAGGCTCTTATAACTTGCTTTGCCTCTTTTTGCCTAATCTTATAGATCCTCACTCTGGTTGTTTTTTTTTTTAATAATTACTAAATGCTAACTTTTACTTTTTACTATTTTGGTCACTTCTGCAGAGTACCACAGTGGTTTCTTAATTTTTCTGCTCTTCCTGACAAGCCTAATGGAATTTTCTGTTACTTTCAGTATTGCAACGTTTAAATAATCCCATTTCTCCTGGACTCCATTTAAACTGCTCCAGTCTGATAAGGACATAAGGACATATTCTAATTTTAGAAAAGTTTTTCTAAAATGTAAAACTTTTGTTTTTGTGTGGTGTGACTTTTCTTATATTAAACCACACTGACTGGTGATCACTAGGTCCTAAACTTTCACCTACAGTAATACACAGACACACAGATAGACATACAGAAACACAGATACACTTACAGACTCACAGATAAATACACAGACACGCATATACACATACAGGCACACAGGTGCATACACAGACACACATACATACATACATACATACATACACATGCAGATACACATATATACATACAGACACACAGACAAACATACATATACATACACAAACAGATACAGACACCGATACACATACAAATACACATGCAGATACACAGACACACCTACAGACACACAGATACAGACACACCTACAGACATACAGATACAGACACACACACATTCAGATATAAAGACACATAGATACATAGATATAATATAGCAGGAATGTGGAACTGCACTCAAACACATTTGAAATGTATTCAGGTGCACCAGACCAGTCCCAGTACCAGGAACCAAGTATATGATGAGGAAAAATAGAGAAGTCCAGGCACTCTCAGGATACAAAAAGGCAAATTTATTGAACCCACTGCAACTTTTCGACCTACAGCTTAAAAGACCGTGTAGGTCGAAACATTGCAGTGGGTTCAATAAATTTGCCTGGACTTCTCTTCTATTTTTTCTCATAGATGCATAGATACACAGATACACATGCAGATACACAGACACACCTACAGACATACAGACACAATGATAGATACACTTACAGACATACAAATACACAGACACACATGCAAAATTTAAACTTTTTTTAGTCACCCTCCTTTTAGGTTTCCTACCTTTTGGGTACATGAGTCTGACTTCCCTGCTAGTCTGCTAGTTGAGGTTGTTGGGAGTCAGAGGCTAACCATGTCCACACTCCCCTTCTCTCTATCCTCTCCCTCCAGCCTGTCTCAGTGTTTATCTGGGAGGAAGTGATCGGCTTTCACTTCAATCCATGCTTCCATTATTAAAGGGGCCCAGTCGCACGATTAAAAGGCCCCTGAAGACACAATGCCATCAGGTGGCTTTTGGTGCATGGGTCATTGCAGGGGCCCCCTCGGGGTCTGTGCCCCAGTGTAGCTGCACCAGTGGTAGCTCAGCCACTGATATGATGAGTTAATAGGTTCACAAGTCCACATAAGAAAAAAAATAATAGATGCTAGGTTTTCTGGTCCCCTGTACATCATGACCCTCAAATCCACTGGCCAATGTGTGTATCCAGGTGATAGGAGTGTTTCCAATTGGGTATTTCTCCAGTAGGTATAGGGAATATCTATCTGATAAAGCCATGAGAGGAGAAACGCATAAAGTGTGGTCCCCAGCATCTATTGGACTTTTTATACTTTTTATTTTTTAGATATTTGGTATTCTGTTACTCAATAAAGGTAATTTTATTTACTTATTATATTTACCTAGTTATTCACCTTCACCCTGCTTCCTGGTTACCTTCAACATCCTAAGGTGGGTATTGTACCACCTAAGGCCTATTATACTGAAGCAAGTCCTGCTCCAGAGAATGTGAGTACATTTTCATATATACATCAGTTATTTGAACATACATCACTATTGGAGTATTCATATATTTCTGTTCCCTATACCTGCTGGAGAAATACTCAATGGAAAACACTCCTATCATCCAGATCCACATATATCCTTAGATGGGGATTATACCGTATGTGCAAAATCCAACAGTGCTCTTAGCTAGCTCTGGAAAACGTGAGTTCATTACTAACATCAGCTTGTTAATATTTGACTTTTTTATTTGTACTGTATTGCACTATTTGTTTTTATTCCTTTTTGAGGTTAACATCGAAATATTCCAAAAGGTATATATTTCTACTTTAAGCAACTGGCACAGTTTCGTTTGTTTTTTCTTCCCTTTTGCCGCACTGAATGAGTAAAAAGTGGTCACGTGACATGGATGCCCACTTAGGAGATCTTTGATTCAATGCATTTGTATAGGGAAGCTTGGATGTGTGCAACTCTTGCCGCACATGTGCATCAGATCCCTAATGCTCCTCTACGAGGAGCATTGGATTGGACTACACTGGAGCTTTGATGCTGCAAAAAGGTAAATAAAAAAAACGTAAAAAAATATATATTTTTATTGGACACCCCTATATAGCTAATTATATGATTAGGGACAGGGACACTAAAGAATTAGCAATACTTTTAACATGATATACCAAAAACACAAATCACTGTTTAGGTGACAAACCCACCAAGAAACTGAGATTTTTTTCTTTTTGGTGGGTTTGTCATCTAAACAGTGATTTGTGTATTTGGTATATTTTATATTGTGTATTTCTGAGGGAGTGTCCACAGAGTGTCACAGCTGCTATTTATTTAATTTGTTGTTTTACAATTTGTATAAGTGCCACATTTTCACATTTATTGTATCCTTTTTTCTTTAATATTATTATTAACACCATTTTCTTCATTATGGGAAGAAAGGGGTCTTCGCATTAGAATTTAATTGAATCAGCAGCAGATTAAAATATGTTCTGTTTAGTATAACATTTTCTCAAGGCATTTTTTATTGCCAAATTACCTTTTTTTAAATTGCATTTTCTTATAAAAACCCTGGATTTGCCAAGATCGACAATCTAACGGATATGTGACACGTTTACATAAGTGTGATGCCTTCCTATAGCAATAAGCTAAATATTTTTATTGCATCAACGTTTCAGTTTCTTAAAAGCATATAAAATGCAGTATATACAGTTACAGGAATATGTGCCAGCTTGCTTTACACGCTCTTTCCACCTTTGTATCTGACACACTATTGCCTTTGTACAACTATGAAGCCTGGCATTGAAGAGGATCAGAATGCCACGGCCATCTGTTTAAGTGACAGCATCTTTGCCAAATGCATATTTTCCAGTCCATGTGGTCAACTTCCTTATGTTAAATACCTTAAATCCCTAGTAGTTACAATCCATAAGATTTTGTGATTAAAATCAGCATTTCATTAAACACTTTATTTGAAACATTTATTTAAACACCGGCTGCAATGAGAATCCCATGGTAAAAAAAACACAGCAAATTATCCTTTTATTGATATTTTAGGAGACAGCACATTTTTTATGAACATATAGATTTTTTTTCACAATTATTAAAGTATTTTTAACAGTCTTTTTCATATGCTTTGCTTGCTGGAAAAACGAACAAAAAATGCTTCTTTACAAAGGAATTGTTTAGGAAATTAAGAACTAATAAGATTTAACTAGTTTCTTCCTGAGTTTACTGTGAGTTGGACTTCTAATGTTGCTGTTTTTTTAAATAGCTCCTCTCCGATATTCATTCTGTGTGAGTTCAAGGCCCGTAATTCACATACCAAGTATGTACATAAATATACATCTTTGTCTCCTAGCTTTCCTTCAGCTATAGTGTACAAAGCCCAGAAGTCTGTTATTAAGGTTTTCTGCTCATACTATTACCTTCCATCATCTAAACCCCTTTTGTTCAGACAAGATGGGGAAGCTTTGCAGTGAAAGGAATTAAATATGCGATGTAGAATTCTTCGATTTCTGTACATAATAAACAGTGCGTGACCCTAGCGCCTAACTCTGCAGAGCTGAGGCCTGTTTTCCTCTTCAATGGATTGCTTTGCTCTCAAGTTAACTCACACGCTGGATTTAGTCCAAGAACATTTTGTTCCCTGGTAACAAGCCAAGATTCTCTCAGCAGTGGAGTCGTTCTTTTTTTTTTTTTTGCTACCTCCTCTTTCCATCTTTATTATGATTGCTGTGTCTCTCTGTTGCTGCGGTTGAAAAGACATAGAGAAAAAATATACCCTCATATGATTTTGATAAGACTTGGGGCACGCTGCGAATACAGCATTTCCTCTGTTCGAGGGTCTGTGCATTAAAGGGTCTCGTGCTTAGCTTTCAAACGTACAAGGTTGTACCAAAGCCATGTGAAGCACAAAATATTTAAATTTAATGCTTTCCAGATGTATAAGACGTAGCTTAATTTCGTGCAGTTACTGTACAAATGCCAGTTTACATCTGCAAATTTCTAGTGAGTTAGGAACATGAAAGATGATCTATTGAAACATCTGTTACAAAGTTCCAATCAGTGTTGCCTGGGTCTTCATAGTTTATTCACTTGCAAATATCAATTGAAGACTGATTTTCACAATTTGCTACCAGGCTATACAGGAACTATGCCTCACTGCCCTTTAATTTACCCTAACATACTTTATAAGGGACATTGCGGGGGTTCTACTTTATTCTCTGAATTCACATCACATTCAGTTAAAATTTAGAGAAAGATTCGTAAGGGCTTCATAGTGCATGCATGGTTAGTATTGGCATGTGCTATAATGTCTGCAAATGTAAACAATGTCTACTATGTGATATCATATGTACCGTATCCCAAGTCTGTATGTAGATGGCCCCCCAAGGAGCCCCCTATAGAGCATTCGACCCCTGGAATTCAATTTAAATAGCTGGTTTATTGAAACTCATATATAAACATAAGAGGACAGATTTTAATAGTAATCATCATATTATTATTATTTATTATGTATTCTGTCAGCTCCTTTGGTTGGTGTCCTCCAACCAAATCACTAGGGACTTGCCTTAACCTTAAGGCTATGTAATAGAGATGCTATGTGTTAATAAAGCATCAATAAATTCTACAGTTTTAGAAATATTTAATGGACACTATAATCACCAGCTTAACATAGTTGTTCTGGTGTCTATAGCCTGTACCTGCAGGCATTTTAATTTAAAAATTGCATTTTCAGAAAAAAAGCAGTATTTACATTACTTCTTAGGGACACCTCCCATGGCAGTCACTCAGATGGCCACTAGAGGCACTTCCTGTGTCACTCCTGTACAACGTGCAGTACTGACGTTTAGTGTCTTCACTCTCAGCATGGAGGCTCAGAATTTTCCCCATAGCTATGAATTGATTCAATGCAACTCCATGAGGGGATGCTGACTGGCCAGCGCTGTGTTTGGCTCCATCCCCTGATCCTCCTCCTTGGCTGATTCTGATGATCTCAGCCAAGAGGGTGGAGTGTGAGCAGAACGAGCCCCAGCGGACCTGTGTGGCGCTTGAATAAAGGTCCTAAATAGTATTTGTAACACTATAGGGTCAGGAATACATGTTTGTATCTTGACCCAATAGTATTCCGTAAGTAAAGGGTAAAATCGCAAACCAACAATGGGTATATTCACTAAACACTGGATTTGTCCAGATGGATAAAATACCAGAGAAAATGACCTATTTCTGCATTGTTTTGGAGTCTTCCTTTAAGTAACCTTTTCCCTTCCTTCCCTTAACTCCATCTTCAATGTAAAACATGGTAAAATATTACAAAGCCAGCAGTACATTTTAGCTGTAATGAATAAAGCTAAAGTAGTTTTGCCCGGGGGACCGCTGTAGTTTTGCCTGGAGCTCCAGTTCTGAGCAGGCCTTGCTTGAGCTGAGATGAAAAATTCTCCCTGTCCTTTGCACTGGGAAGAAAGTTATCTATACTTGAGGACAGAGCTGGAGCTGTGAGCAGGAGATTTGTAGACCCTCCAGTTACAAACCTCAGTAATTGTTCCCTGGTGCTTATTAATGAGTCAGAGCACAGCCGACACTATCCCCAAAGGCTGACCTTACTGAGCGCCGGACTGTTAGAGAGCAATTACTGAGGTTTGGTCCCGATGAATGTACAAGCCTCCCGCTCACTGCTCCAGCCTTATCCTCAAGTATAGATAACTTTCTGTAAAGTCTTTACCCAATGGATATGCAGACAACAAGCTTGCCCACTGGACCACCAGGAAGCGATACCCCCCCTCCACGCTTCCCCCCGGTATTATAACCATTACAGCTTTCTGGGCAGTGTAGTGTCTTAAAATCGTATATATTAGAATTTAGGTGTACAAGGAATTTCAGGTGCAAGGATTACTGTCTTTGTGTCCATGCACCAAAACACTGAACTTCACTCATTAAATAGAATGATCTATTTTACTGTTTTGGGAATTTTGTGTCAGGATTCTTTTTAGGTTGCTACATGTGAAATTGTTTGACACTGTGTTTTGGGTGTTAGACTTGCACTTTAAGATCACTTGCACCATTTTATTCTGCTTTTATTTCTTTGATTAAATAGAATTAAGTTACTGTTAATATATATATATATATATATATATATATAGATTACTCAGTTGACATCACAGCGGATATCTAAAGAAGTATTATGCTATAAAGCAATGATTATTTGGTCTGGTTGGAACAGGCACATCATATTCATCTAGGTCTGTACTGTACCATCACTTTTTTACACTCCGCAATGGAGACCTTGTTTTACATTTTGAAGGGTTTATGTATTTTTTTTGTATTTAGTATGCCATCAAAGGTAATTTTACATTTGCAGAATGGGCCACCAGTTGATGCCACGCACAGATTGTGGGCCCTAGTTAAATTAAGTTAAAAGCTACTGCAGTAAGTATCTTCTGCTACAAATCCATGTGATCATTGTTTTGGAAGGAAGTATCTTAATAGTACCCTAAAACTATATTTGTATATATGGCAGTTTCTTTTTTATTGACCTACTTTTCTTAGGTTAATATTTGGATTACTGAATGCGATGACAGCAAACCCGTGATCATTTTGGATGTTTTCTTGCACACACCCCTAGATAAATTTAAGACATTCTACGAAACAGACTGCCAATACACTAGAAGTGTTGGAACTATATTCCCTGCAAAACCACCATGCAAACAAGATCTCTAAATCTAAACAGAAAGGCATATACTTGAGCCAATTGCACCAGATACTGCATATATTAAAACTGAATTTTGTTTTCACAGATATACACTTTTTTCTATTTCTAAGGTTAATACGGGACTGCGTTTTTACAAAGACTAACTTTTAAATTTACCCGTTTAAAAATAATATTTTCTATAGCAAGATTTTTAAAATTGGTTTATGCATTAGTCGGTCTTCAGTCATAACTTGGAATTATATTTTAAAGGAGTGTATTCGGCAAAAGTAATAGTAGTCTGTAGCGGAGATCCAGTATTCCACAAGTTAGCTCCGCTTATGATCCCAGTGAGGCTCAGGAACAAGTAGTTATAAATCCATAAAGCAAGATTTCCAGCAGGTAAAACAATATAGCAATATCCCAACAGCAATCCCAATAACTGGACAACACACAGCATCAGGAGCAGAACTAAAACTTTTATTTCACAGTGGCCTTATAAAGCATGCTCCCCTGCAAGGGAAGGATTTTCATTAATTAATACAGTCAGTCACAGTATAAGGGAACAAATTGCAC